TAATCAATCACAACAAACAATAATTAATTACATAAAACGTACAGGAGTATAATTAAGCGCTGCCTGTGGATGCCACGATTTTAACCATAGCATAACATAGACTCCACAGTCCTTGCTGCACACAGCATGTCATGACGTGTTAACAATTTTGCCCAATAACATCCAGCCAACCAATCAATTTAAAGAACAAAAAAGTTAATCACACTCACATGTTGTTTTGTTTTGCAACATCAGGATAAATTATATCAGGCTTTGGCTTCTTCCCAATCAACTTTGGCTGAACCAATTCTATAATATCGTGAAACCGGTCCCGCTGGATAAAACAATAGCAATCAATGAAATAAAAATGGAACAGATTAATTATAAACAATAATTGGTACATACACAAATGTTGTGGAACTTTTCCATATCGTCAACAATTGTTCCCTTCTGCTTGTTCTTTTTCTTTGGCTGCCCACTAACATATACGTTCAGTGAATCCAGCACGTAGAAGTTCATGACCTTCGGCTCCAGCACAAAGCAGAACCAGTGTTGGTCTACAAGTGCTGGTCCCAAAATCAAGTCACAATCCCCAATGTTGTAACCAACATGTTCCTCTTGTAGTTCCTTCTTGCTCACTGCAACACTCCACCCTGGACTACAAAGTTTGGACTGCAAAATATGACACTATAAGCATATTGACGTAAACTATTGCTGAAATTAAGTAATATTACAGCAATCTTACCATCAAGTAGGCATCAAATATGTGTCGTCTAACTTGTCCACCCCCCTCTTTTATTTCTCCCATCAGCATGTGGCACACCATTGACATGACCTGTTTGACACATGAGAAAATTTTTAAGTTTCAGCTTGCACAACATCTGTTATACACAATAGCTAATCAGGTGGAGATTTCATTACATGGTTACTAACTCTATGCATTCCACCCAATGACCTTAGATCATCACGAGTTACATGGAAGTCATACAACTCAACCAACCTCCTGCAGATCAAGTAGTCATTTTGCTTACACAGGCCACAAAAAGTTTCATTCACATTTATTTAATAGCAATAAAAGGCTTACTTGTCACCATCAGCTGAACTGCACATTTTGGAGACAGTGATGAAAAATTTTTCCTTGTCATCCATCTTCCGGTTTGTTCTCTTCACAACCTTTGGCACAACCCAGGGAGACTGTAGTTTTGGGGCGGGCTTCATCGGCCTTTTCGATCTTCTTACTTGTTCTGCCTTGTCCGGTACTTCCTCTTCATCCGATGCTCCTCCTTCAGCATCTGGGTGAATGATGGTGATAGGAGATAATTGCAATGCTACTTGTTCAATATCTTCCTCTTCACCTTCTTCCTCCTCAATATCATGCTCAGAATCTTCATTTTCTCCATCACCATCCCTGTCCTTCGCACCATCATCTTCTGCATCACCATCCCTGTCCTTCTCACCATCATCTTCTGCATCACCATCCTTGTCCTTCTCGCCATCATCTTCTGCATCACCATCCTTGTCCTTCTCGCCATCATCTTCTCCATCAGCTTCACCTTCAAGTTGTTCTTCCTCATGGGGCCGTACATGCCTTTTATTGTTAGATTTCGGCCTGTACTCCCTTCCCAGCTGTACCTTCATCAGCTCATTGTCAACAATAGCCACAAGTTTGTTGCTATTTTCTCTAATCATCCCCACCAACCTCTCACGCAAATCCTTCAACTCCTATAGGAAACCAAAAAAATTTTCAGTATGTATTGTTATTTCAAAAATATTTGAGAAGGTTACAGAAGTTTGTAAACATGACATATTACTAAATAATATAAACAAAATCACTATTTAACAAGGTTGCCTTTACCGGGTCTAGATAAGGTACAGATTCGCTTCCTCCCTTATTATCAGGCACTCTAGCACGCCCTTCTGAATAGAGAAGTCCAATACGGCTCTTTCTTTCTTTATTACTCATTTCGTTGACCCTCTTATCCGTCCAGAATGATATGGCCTCAGTGTGGTCATGCTTTGCACTTTCAGTTATAGGAAAATACTCAAGCAAATATAGCTGTATCACCAATTAAATGACATTAACACTGTTACAGTGGCAAAACAATAACTAATAAAAAAAATGCATACCAGTAACAGGTATATGCATCCACCAACATTGCAGCTGCCATCCTGCTTCCTCACAACCCTCAAATAATCTTCCATCTCCTTCGACAGCTCTTGCACCACAAACGTAGCCCAATCATATTCCACAAATGAATCCTTTGTTGCAGCCACCACCTTTATTAGTCGCTCACTTACTCTTCCACTAGAAGTGGGGCATAACAGAGTTCCAAGTGTGTGGAGCATAAACAACATTTTAAATTCATCACCCTTCTTTTGTCCAGATGTTATCACCTTCAAAATATCTGTATAAGACTTCTGGAAATAATTAAGCCTAAGGCTTATAAATGCAGGGTCGTCCTCAGTAACTTCAGATGTCACCTCCCTTCTCCCAACATGGGGTATGCCTAGGAGCATTTGCACATCTACTGCATCCAGTTTTCTAGACATTCCCCTAATGAGAAATTGCTGCGTTGGTGGATCATATGAACGCATCATAGCAGCACAAATGTCTCGAGGGAGTCTACGAAGTCTCAACTCTAGCAACCTTGACAACCCCATTGCTTGAACCTCGTCTTTCAGATCCTTGTTGTCCTTAACATACGCTGCCAAGGAAATGAACTGTCCTAGTGCACTACGACAATGAAAAGGAAGCTGGTAGTTGCTCGTTGTTGCCTTTGGTGGCCTTGTTTTCTTTGCCTCATCTTTATATCTTTGTCTCTCTGATTCAGGCAGTTCTTTCCATGCCTTTGTCACTGCTTTAGTGCATTGGGTCACATTCTTGAACTTCTTCTTACACTTATTCATAAACTCAGTTCTAAACAGAAGCAACCCGCTCCTCACAGGTTTAGATGGACCTTGTTCATCAGCTGACATATTTGTTATCCTGCAATAGCCATCAATTTTCATCAACAACCATCATCACCTAATCCCTTCAAACATTTCTATAACAAGAGAACAAACCGAACGTCTCCAGTTGTAGACATGCAGGAAACCAGTTCAATTTCAATGACGTTTGCTCCAGATACAAAAATAAATCCTCAACAATTCAAATACATGATCTACGATGACTTAATAAGGAGCAGACCCAATTAGCAATCTTTTTGCTTGAACTGATTGTTTTTGCAACATGCATAGAAATAGTGGACTCTAATAATCAAGGATACATTATTTCCCTCCACCCTCACTCAGCAGCCATGCTTGACATAGAAGAACGACCTTAGATACTCTGTTCTACGGGTCTGTCTACTTCCAAAATAGTGATGCCCAAGCAAAATGATGCAATTGAACAATTATATATATTCATGTCAAACGAAATAGTTCAACCTTTAACAGAAAAAATTATACCCACAAGACAATGCAAATTAGAACTCATTCGTAATGATCAAAACACTTTAAGAGTGAGTTCATCAACAATAGCCAGAAAAAGTTCGGAATCCCCACAACATCAGTTCTGTAATCTCTATATTCAAATTACTTCCTCTGTAACAACCTCGCCACCTTGCCGCTAAAAGAACTTAGTGTCATTTTCTCGGATTTTTTCAGGAACAAAATTTTTTCCAACCGAATCAACAAACGCTCGCGATAACAGTATACGCAGAAAAACAGATTAACTACAAATGAAATGAAACAATGTTATTCGAGCCGAGAAAGAAATGAACGGAGAGAACCTGAATAAATTCTTTCACAGCCACTGAATGAAGGAAAGAAATGAGCGCCAATGCCCTAATTTCCCTTCTTCTTCTACCACCGGATTTGCTTCTTCTACCACATGCGACTGGCAGCCCTTTTCTCCCTTCCTGAAATCTGCCTTCTTCACAGAGAAAAATCGCTTCCTCCACGGTCTCGTTGCTTCCCGCCTCTTGCTCTGTTTCTATTTTCACTCAGCCGTCGCAAATTTGTCCTTGTTTAAAATTGAAATAAGGGCGAATTTGTCCATTTGCCCTCATTATGTAAATGACAGATTGGGTCAATGACCCAATCTGTCATTTCTACAATTCCAGGACCCAAACTGGAATTGTATATATTAGAGTGGCTTTATCTGTCATTTTCCCTAAAATAATTTTGGACCATACCATTATTTATCTTATTATTTTTTTTTAACCAGAACCATACCATTATTTATTGAAAATGAGGGAAAAGACCAAGATTGCTAGCGGTGGCAATTAAACTCCCAGTCCCAGAGCGCTTTCCTTGTAGTGTGACTCAGATTCCGACCATCGTACTGTAATCTTGGACTCTTGGTAGTGAGGCCTGAGAGACAGCCTGATGGCCATTTCTTTGTCAATATTTTGGTCAAGTCTGGGCTTTTCAAATTATCATGTAGTATAATTTTTATTAACTAAGTGAGCACTTTTCACAACAAAATGACAATTAAAAGAGATAATTGTATCTGCGGACTAGAAACTGATGAGCCGAGTGCCCTAAAGACTGGAATAAATAACAACAGGTTCCCCATCAAAATTCAAAGCGACGTCACAGGGGATTCGTTGTCAAAACAAAAGGGAAGTCCCACAGTAAACGGTTACGTCCAGGTAACCCTTGATGGAAACCGTAACATGTATGAAAAGCATGCCAATAAAAAGATCAAAATGGTGGGGGGTGGGGGAGGGGAGGGATTGGAGCTGAGATGGTTACAGCGTTGGAATGACGAGAATATGTCACCCGTCGGTTTTGTATTCCAGTCCTACTAGACAGATGAGCAGAAAAAATTTGGGTGACGTGTGTTTTCTGCGGCTGAAAGGGACATATTCTGTTGGGTCGCCCGCAAGAAGACACAGCTTCCCTCCCACAAAATAGCAACTCCCGTACACAGCTCTCAGCATTTTGTGAACACATTATCTTATCCAACTGTAGAACTATGTGCATATAAAATATATATATATGTGTGTGTATAAAAATGGTCCATCCCAAGTTTCCAATGCTATGTAAATGAAGAAATGCTATAAATGCGGCAGATGTTAGCAATAGTAAGCCCACAATCAAAACAACTACTGAGAGAGGTTTGGTATGAGAGAACAATTAGAAATACACCAGTAGAAGTTCATGGAAGAAAAAACATCAATAAATGTGCATCTGGACCGATTACCTAACCTCCTAAACAACTTTTACAAAAGCTCGTTGATTCTCTCTTATATGGGATTAAGGCTGATGGGATTTGAATCAAAACTAAGCACGTGCTGCCAGCAGGACATGTCCAATGTATATCTCTACAAAACTGAAGAATACCGAGAATACAAAATAAAGATGCCATCCCGCTTATTATCCACTAAGCTTTTCAGGGGATGTGACACTGCAGAGTGAGTTAAACTCGACATGTCCAGAGTATTCTTTTGGTGAAAGTTTGAAATTTCATTCAGTTTCAGGGCTTGTGAACTTTGAAACCAAAAACTCTTTGAACATAGCTCTGCGATGGTTTTGGTGGCTTCAGATGGCCATAAGTCATCAGGAAGAGGTGAGGAAATGTGGTTCCAAAATAAGCTCCATCAACATCTATATGCGTTAAGGATACTTTGATAAGAATTACAGGATGGACTGTTCGCCCATAAAGTTGAGCCCACGATTACAAAAGCCAAGGCATAGAGCAAAAAGCAGCCATTCCAAATACCATATCAAACTCAGGATTTAATCACAGTAAGAAAAGTTCGATAGAATGGGAAGAAAAACCTGACAATCAACAATATGAATAGTTGTCTGAGTTATCGAATAGAAAAGATCACAGTATAATCAAGTTAAACTTTCTTCTCCTGGGGATAAAAAATGTTGTTAGTTCTAGTTTTGCTCTTTTTCTTCAAAATTCAGAAAACAGAGTACGCAAAAAAATTCCTCTCAAAGAATAATATAGGATATCCTTTTAATCAAATCAAAAGGGTTAAATATTTCAATGGATTTATTTACATAAGGATACTGCCTTGATACTTGGACCGGGGATAGTAGATGTCTTCACACCTAGGACAGTATATCTTCACAGTACTTGACCTAGGAATGTCTGACTGACCAACGGGAAGGCAGGGTTGTCCAGAGCAGTAAACTCTTGGACACCTGCCAAAGTCGTAGTTTTTGTACTTCTCCATCTGCATTCAACATCATTAGAAGTGCCAACAATAGCCACAGTAAACCATAGAACATAGAAAGCTGAGGGAAAACTCACCATAGCAGCCATTCCTTTATTTGTCAAAACATATCGAGCATGAATCAGACCATAAAGCATCTCTGCAGCTGATTCAATTAACTCATTCTGTTCCTCTGTGAACATGTCACCTATACAATCCAGTCAAGCTATTGTTATATATACAAACTACAGAACAGAGGATCCTGTGTACCTGTATGATGCCTGAGATGCGACTCCAATACTCGTTACAGTTTATATTATTATTGATAACGATGATTGTGCAAAAGTATCAGATAGGCAATCAGAGAAGCATTCATATCAATGAACAAATTGAATTTAGCTTTGAGGAGAAATAGTTGAATTAATTCGGTCAAACGACATAGGCAGCATGAGAAACCCATATCCAGCATTCCAAACTGATAAGTGAAATATATGAATATGAACATACGCTTACCATGAGAGGATTCAACATCCAAAATTAAATCAAGGGCATAATCAAAGTAAGGAACTTGACTGCTTAATCCACAAAGGTTGAAATCATCTTGTATGTAATCATCATCAACTTCACAAAAGAATTCATTTCCTCTTAGATTACAAAACCATGAGATCCAAGAGGTGTCATCCCCATCAGAACCACTAACATCTGATGCCTCACTGTCTGTTTCAGATTCCTCTGCAGCCAATACGTACAAGATAAATGTAAGCTAATTAATGTCAGTCTTAGCAGTTCTACATTATGTTCATAAAAGCATTCTATCTCTCCAATTTTCTCCTACATTCTTATTCTCAGCTCTCACCTCCGCTTTGGCAATATGTCCAGCTATGCTGAGAGCTGACATTTTTTTTCTTCTTCAGTTTTTATCCAATAGAACCAACAATGATAAAATTTCGAAGACAAAAGGAACTATGTACACACATATCAACCTGTAAACGGTAGGCCAATAGGATAATAAGTTAGCAGATATCATACCAACGTTTCTACCTCCTGGCTTTCTATGATATGCCTCTCATATATCCAATCAGATAAGTTGAACGTAAAATCCCTACTGCAACAAGCTTACACAATTTCGATACTTTCGAAGTGGTACAAAACATGATGCTGTCCAGAAGGAAAAAAATGAGGGTAGAAAATACAAAAGTCAAGGGGGAAAAACGAAGCTAATATGAATAGTTTTCTATCATCTTCCATCGAAGTTCCCTCCCACCAAACAGGTTTTGTCAAGAAAAAAAAAATTGAACTCCTGTGCTATTAATACAATGGAAAACAGATCGGATCCTAATATAAGGGGGTGAAAAAAAAGACCAGAGAAGAACAAAGCTTCCGACAACAGTAAAAGAAATAAGTTCAAAGCGATTCTAACCATCAGAGGCATCGGAGTTCTTAGAGACAGAGGCAGAGTGAGCGTCCCTGTGATCATAGGGTAGTTTAGCAGCCCAAATGGATTGCGCCGCCGCACTGTCCTTCGCCTTGACTGCCCTGGAAGTGGACGGCGAGGATCGTTCGAGCTGCTTGTCGAGGACGTCATTGATGCGCTTGCGATCAACCGAACCCACCTCGGACTTGGACCCAACACCACTTCGCGCTCTGTACATGCCTCCACCTCTCAAAACTTACCCAATCCCAAAATTAACAAAAATGGCACCGAGTCATAGCTCGCAAAGCCAATCGCGAAAGTAGAGCATCTTGGAGGCAGTTTAGAGATCTGGCGGAGAAGCCATGGCACAAATCTATGCAATCCTGTAATGGGTTAGGTCTGGGGAGGGATATGGATGTGGGGAAGAAAGGAAGGAAGAGAAAAGAGTGTGGCGTGAACAAAAATGCTATGAGCATCACCTCTAATATAAGATCGACTAGTATAGCATATAGCCATATAGGCTTCCAAAATGTTTGTTTCGAATTCGGGAATATTGGTGCCCATGAACAGGCGGGACAGGATTATAGGACAGCTCACCCTGCATTTTCCTTGGGAAGAATCTCCCAGCGTAGCCAATAGCCATCCTCTGCACCGCACGTGATTGTCACGTTTCCTGGGCCCAATTACTTTTTTTTTTTTGGTGCTCAGAGTACCTCTCATCCTATTACTATTTTATTCTCCCTCTCTCTGTGTGTATTTTCTTTTGACTCCTGTTGTTCTAATACCATTTCTTTCTTTGGGATTTTCTCATTTAGTTCTCCATCCACAGTATAAATAATCGAGATTTGAGACTCATCAGAATACGAATTCTGCAATAACACAGCACGTCTTTCACCTACACTTATTCTATGACTTCCTTTGATAATGGTCCACCTAAATTCTAGTGTTTAACGATCACAAAAAGAGTGAGCACTGTGCACTCGATTAGTCCTATATTATATATGGTGCCATTCCCATAAGGAAGGCTACCTACCAAGAATTTTATTCAAAACTCGAAAGAATCCTTCCATGAATGATGTCGGCAAGCAATGGATGGGCTTAGAATTAGAGATGGGATTAAAATTTAAGATTCATCAGTGTACTACTGCTGCGCTAGGAAAAAGGAATTTTACTTTGTGGTACAGAAATTAAAATATATACTAATATTTTTATGTTTTTATAATTAATATTTAATAATACATAATTTTATTATTAATTTTAGAAAATAAACAAAATGCATTCTTATAAAACTATCCTTTACTTCATTTCTTTGCGATTTCATCTATCCGGTGAAATAGACAAATTCCATCTATCAAGCATCCCCAATTACAGTTCTATACTATAATCTGTACCCCAAATTCAGCATATCAAACTGGCCCTTAGGGCCAGGCTCCCCAACGTAGAATTGCAGTGTGACTGATGCAGGTAAACACAATAAGCAACAAACATCGAACTGATACTGAATAATCTAACCTTTATAATTACGAACATAAACCGTATTAGTGAACGGTGAAATACATGTAATGTCTGCACATCTGATTACCAGTCTAATCATCAGCAAAATACTTCTCCTCTGCATCAACGTTGGCCTCCCTCTGCCAATGATCGTCAAGGGTCTCATCATTGTCTATCCTAGAGTAATCTAAATGTTCTTGATCTTCCCCCAGCAAGAACTTCTGCTGCATTATGTAGGTGAATTGATTCAAACGATCCTGCAGTTCTTCCGGAGATAAAGATGATTCCTCGTTCTCCCTTGTCTGGTCCGATGGATCATCCGAGTGATTTAAGTGCGCCTGCAAGTGCCAGCAAATATTATATTCATTAATTCAACACGGTATTCATTTTAGCACTCTACAATCTCCCGCAAGCTAGAGGTCCAAAACCATTAGACATTAAATACTACATCCAATCTTTAATATAAAAGTTCGTTTGGCTTATATTTTGATCTTAAATATAAAATTCCAATCTATTTTGTCTATCATATTTATCCATTTTTTTCAAAATAGTCCTTGTAATAATAGTAGTTCTAGCCAATGCAATTGATTAGCAAAGATATTTTAGGAAAAACAACAATTATTTATTACAAATAACTAACTTAACTAATTTCTCTATCCTCCTCAAATCAATCAATTAGCTCTTAGATTAAGGACCGGAAGTAATAGCACTTTCACCAATCATCAATATTCAATATAGGCAATTCACATTATTGATAAAATGGAAAACCAAAGTTTAAGCAACATAATCACATTAACAAGGAATCAAATATTTCTCAAAAAAGACAACGAAACATTCAACACTAAGTCATAATAAAATGTGTCAAAGTAATCATATATTATCACTTCATCAAGAAAAAGGAATTACTCGAAATACTATTTAGGGTATCCACATGCCATCTCTTATTATTGATTTATTCATATCGGCTGCAACAGTATATTGTTCCACTACGGGCCAAATGTAGATGAAAATTCATAGTAGATACCAAGGATATTATACTTAAGGGAGTGGAACAGCATAAAAGCACAAGGCAGTCAGGATTGAGCCAAGTAGAGGTGGATTATCTTGTGAGTTCCGACTAACATGTCAAGAGGACAGAGGTTAAAATACCAATCAAGATTCTAAAAACAATGTAAGTATCAAAAATCCAATTGGTCATTCAATCGATCGAGAAACTAGTTCACAGTTCTCCAGTCAGATCATAGTTGAACTGATCATAACCAAAAAAAAAAGTTATTTTTTAAAGAAGCGCACTAAAAATACAAGGAATAAATATTAAGCATATAATATTTAACCAAAAAATATCACTCATATTTAATTAAAGTTTTATATCTGATATTTCATCTGTTTAGGGAAAAAAATAATTTTTTTGTTAAAAGAACAAAAGGCAATTAGCTTCCACTTTCTCCAAAGATGGTGATGTAGCAAGTCTCAATAGGATATTCAGAGTCTCCAAAAGCTTAGCTTTCTCCATCAAATCGGCAAATCGGCAAGTTCCATACAATGCAAGTGCAGAAGAGTCGCTAGAACTTAATTGGAGCTCATTTGACCTGATGAATGAGAGTAAGAAGCGACCCAGCAATTTGGGTTTTGGAAAATCTGAGAAGGCAAGAAAGGGGAAGCAAAAGAGGAGGAGGAGAAGATAGATGCACTTGGTGATACCATGGATGCCATAATTCATGACAATCATGTGTTCAAACTCTGCAGGCTACAAATTTCACTTTCGTGCTCAAACTTTGCCTCATTGCATATTAAACCACCTTATGTTACTTGAAGCCCCACATCAACTAAAGACTATGAAAGAAGCGAGAACCAAGTTTATAAAAGGAAGGGAAAGACCATCAGCTTGAGCATGGTAAGACGCTGTGGTATTTTCTTAGCCATGAGGCCCACAAACTTCCGGTTTTTGGTTTCCAAAAACCAGATGTTAAGTAAACCAGCTGGCTTTCTGGGGGCTTCCCAGTTTTTTACCAGTTTTCCTTTAGTCTGGTTTAGGCTTAGTTCAGAACTAGGTCCAGTACCCATTCGCTAGTTGTACCAATTTGACTGCCCAGACTGATTTTAATTAATTGCCTTGAAAACAACACAACGCCCCAAAAAAAAACGGAAAGAGGATGATCAAAACCTATAGGTGAATGGTTTTATATTTAAACAATTCAATGTTCATTGTCATCTTCAGTATTTCCATGACATCATTGAGAACCAACTTGAAACCATATGACCAAACATGCAAGAGTTCACGTCATTGAGGTTTCAAATTTATCATCTCATCGCCCCAAGGGAAGCTCCTTCAACTTGGTCAACATTAAATTAAAGAATGTACCCTGACATCTTGGTGAGGAAAGATGATGTGAGATCAAAATAGTTGGACAGTATCTGAATTGTATAACATGCAGAATATTTAATGCACTTCTAGTTAAACCAAATTAACCAAATATTAACAAGGATCTAATGCAAGATATCATGAAAGAACATCAAGATTGCCAGCCAGCTCACTCGCTAACGGTTGTAAATGACATAATAGAGAACAATTATGCCTCTACATCAACGACAAAGTAGAAAACACAATAATATAATAGACATATATCTCATAAAACCCAAAACAGAATGCAAGTAAGTTTATAGTGTCTTACCGCAGTAGGGTGTCTATCACGAGTAACATTCCTCCTCTCTTCTTCCTCCTCTTCTTCCTCCTCTTCCTCCTCCTCCTCCTCTTCCTCCTGAATCCTCTCATTACCAATCCAGTCCCTTTCAGCCACGCCTAACCTCTGCTGCTCCCCTCTAATTTTTGCAACGAGGAATGCTTCCTCTGACCTCCTCATCAAAGTCTCCGACCACCGCTCTCCAGGCCTTGCCATGCCTCTGCCACTTTGGTCCTGAAATCTCCCCACATACTCGTGATGTAGATACGGCTCTCTCTCCCTCATTGCATCTTCCGAAAAGTAGTCTCCATCGCACATCAATTTATCCAAGTATGCCCGCCTTCGGTTCTTCACAGTGACTGACCTCATCCTCAACTCCTCCGATGTTGGGCTCATTATGCTCCAAAGACGCTTCAAATGCCAATTGATTTCATAGTCAGACTTCAGCGCATCAAACTCGCGCAATTCATTGCTTGTAAGTAGGGACCCATACCGTTCTATGCAAGATTCAAGCCAAGGAAAAAAGACTTAATCAATACAGAACATCAGTAAAATTTCCGGCGCGTTAAGCCGCCAATCGAAAACGTCTCATTATGCTGAAACAACTGTTTTAGCTGCCTGTTGTTTAAACTACACTTCAGCTTACTTGAATAATTGAACTGAGGAATTCGCAACTGCAGCTACAGGCTTTGGAAGAAGATTATGAGAGAGAGAGAGAAGAAAGAGAAATCACCTAAGAAAAGGGCGACGTCTCGAGAAAGAAGGTCGGAAAAGATGGCCTTCCGTTGAGAAGGGTCGGCGGCAGCTGATTGTAAAGCGCGAGGGAAGTATAGGTTCTCCAAAGACGATAGCCTCTCTGATATCCTCTCCATTGCATCACCGCTTATTCCTGGATTCGTCTTTTCCTCCATCTCGCTCTTCTCTTTTGCGTTTCAGCCCCCTCTTTCTTCGCCTTCGTTCCGTTCTTCCAGTATGATCTACTCCAGCACAAGTCGGTGTATCCGTGTATGGCGCCCCTTTCCCAATACGTCGCTTTTTTTTTTTTTTCTTGCTTATATGTATCCTCCTATTGGACCTATTTAAAGTACTGTCAAGCACTAAACGTACACAGCTCTCCCAATAGATTGAAATCTTACTTCGTCATGCGTAAAACTAATTTCTTCCACGAGACTCAACTCTTACTGCTTCGCTTTTGGAAGGACCTGCTTGCGTATCCGGGCCCATTTCACTTAGATTTTGATCTTCGGAAGCTGACGAGGGCCCAAGCCCAACTAATTGCTAAAAATAAATCTTGAATATTGGAGATTGTTAAAAATTAAAACCACAGGGATTTACATCCATTTGCATTGAATGGGGGAAGACCCAAGAATTAAAAAGGTCAGAAGAGGCAAATAAATTTTAACTCTTTATCTCTATCCAAAATTTACTACTGACCATCAGTTATAACATCTGAATATGACCTGAATTTTCTAATACATTGTCAATTAAAGCATGATGTTCACCAAGATTTATGAGCTTACAAAAGTTAACTGACATACAAAAAGATTATTATAAATACTAAATTTTCCTCGTAAGCGTAAACTGCTTCGTAGACATCGAGCTACAGTTATCGAATGTCCAAGAGTACAATTTCTTGGTATTCTGCGTAACATTCCCATTACTAGGTCTATTCTGTGGGCATGAAAGTCACGAGAATTACAGACACCTCAGGAAATTTTTCCAGAGGGATGCCCAGTCTAATTTTCTACTGCGAATCAAAATCGTTAGTAATTCACCGACATTTTCCATCACGTATCATTCAACCCAAAAGCAGTATAAGATTATAACCCAGCGTAATTTCCTCTTCATTAATAAATTCGGCTTACTCCTGTCCAACGATTTCCATCAAGTATCAAAACAACCATGAACCGATTTAACCTAAAGGGCAAAATCCAGACTTGATTCCTGCTTCTTGTCAGGTTGAATTGTATAAACAGATGTAAAGGCCTCTGATTCTTCACAACAGCTCAAGATGACTAATAATTGCATCTGGACAGGACTGGGCCTGTAGAAGCTCCAAACGGGTGAAGGGTGGAGCAAACTGCAATATGTAATCTTCATCTGAAAACCAGGCATGTGCATATTACTTACTAATAAACACCAAACGAATAGATTTGGGACTTAAACAATGCATTTTGCGAGATTGCGTCATATAAACCAAACGAATAGGTATGGGACTTCAAGTTGCTTTTGCAAGTTTTCGTCATGTTCCTTTTTTATCAGCTGGCTCAAAAGAAAAACTGAATGATTCAATAATACTCACTCTCCTTGACTGTTCCATAGAGCCAGCATAAAACTTCATCTGCAAACGCCAAGCAGACTCCACCCTGCCAACAAGTTTCGTTACCATCGGGATCCTGAGATTAAGTGGTCATTGAATAGTAGCATGTATAAACAAATTTTTGTCATATATAATCCTCCTTCATGCCTCAAAACAAAAATGACCATGGGAACATCTCTCGTCTGTGAAGTCGGGAACCCACAGGGAAGAAAGAAGTTGGGGCTTCCAGTAATGGTAGATTCACCATTGCAATCACCAAGCAAAGCAAAGCAAAGATTAGCATCATGCACCTTGTTGCAGTCAAAAATTACCTGCCAGTAGTTCTTCATTTTTATTCTCTGAGTGATTTCTTTAGTTCTTAGTCTTTCAGTCCGAACAAGACGACCAGCATCATCTCTGCATTACAGCCAAAATATTTTTTACCATAACACCAAGTCAAACCTTCAGAAGCAAGCTTTCACATTTGCAATGGATGCTTGGTGGAGAATGGCATATCTGACGCACAAGTTGCTATGCATTTCAAGCTATAATCAGCTCAATCAATTATATGAAAGCTTGTGCGAGAACAAATATGTTTTGACGGTATGATGATCACAATTACCTAAATCCTATGACAATATATGGTACTCCTGCCAAAAATGACTGAATCTGCAACAATCAAGAATAGAGGTCTTGTTAAAGAATAAATCCAATGAACTCGTAATTTTTAAAAGGACAATATTGTAGAAAACCGATCTCATGGTAGAATCATAAAGAAGACAACAAAAAAGGCAGAAAATTCTTTAAAAAAATATAAGCTAAACTCCAAAATACAAAGCTCAATTCTCTAAACACTATAATGAACAATGAGCAAAAATCTAGCTAAAGAAGGACACAATTGAAAAAGATACAGTAGAAATAATCGAGAGGAAAGCATATAAATTCACAGCATAAGGTACAATGAGCTTTACCCAAAACTTGAGCAGTTTTTCTCTCTCAAATTTTTCCTCAGTATGATAGTCCAACTGCATCGTTGAGGATTACATCATGTTAAAAGCCTATATTATGACTATAACAAGAAACCAGAAGAAATGGGATGGAAGTAATGGAAAAGTAAGATGCGAGGAAGCTGAAACTTTGTCAACCTCACGACTTGTCTTTAGTTCAACATAAAATCTCCTTCCATCATCAGTTGAATCACAGCAATCCATCTCAGCACCCATCAAAATGCGGTGAGCCCCTAATTTTGTTTTGATCACAGAACAATATTCAACATTGGCATCAACATGGTGTATCCCCTCTCCATCAGACCTTCTAGGATCTTCAGTGGCAAGGCTCTCAAAACAATATCCCCAATAACATCTGATTCAAAACATACTATAAAGCTTAACGATCAAAATTTTAGAAAGGATATTAAAGCAATGAGGACAATCAATTACTAGTAGGCCATTTATCTCCCAACTAAGCTGTATAAGCAAAACTTCACTTTTTTGCCCCTTTACTTTATAAATCACATATCACTTAGCTACAATTTAATGGATATAATATCAATACTTTCATCTGTCTACCAAAAGTTTATATGTAGGCCTCAACAAGAAACAAGGCAGAAGGGCATTGGTATCCAAACATTACTGAAGGGATGAATATCATCCAATTGATGCACGTATTTCAAACTAGTTCAATCTCAATATTTGTCCTCAGCAAGATCTTTCTCCTTCTTCCCAGCCCGTACCCCACCCCCTTGCTTTTTGTTTCTCTCTTAGGGGAAGAATAGTTAGGTCAGCATTGCAAATACTTCAGAAATTTCAACCCCCCATCTCCTAGTACTTCTTTTCTCCCTTTGGGTTCAATCCATTGGTTTTGCTGCTCGTTCCACTACAGCTCTCTTGACTTCTCTTGGTATCCAAAAGACCAAAATAATAATAGGATATGCAAGTATAGTACCTCCGGCAATCCAAATCACTCTTTGGTCTTTCTGGTAGTTTATGCACATCAAGATAAACAACTCCATTCCGTTTATGCACCCCCATTTCCCAAGGCTCATGTCGGATATAAGCAGTGGCCATTATCTGCAAAAGAAGTCATTGAAAAAGTATTAGAATAGACAAATTTGACAGCCCAAATGTAATAGCTACTTCACAGGAATGATGCATATATTCTCATATGAAGAGATTCTGACTCCATTACCTTGTTAAGATTGTTACGAAATGTCTGCAAAAGATAAAAGAGAAGGCTAAGGTAAGAAGCTTCAGAACTTACATTGTAAAAGCATTATTAGTTTTCAAAAACTTAAATCATTATGCTCTTTATACCACAAAATGAATGTTTTGGAGGGGAATATTTTTGTCTCTAATGCAAGCAAGAAGGTCACCAAAGCCCTCTGAGCCTAAGTCTGCATTAAGGATTAACAAGAAAAGAAAAAGAGTAACATCAGTTCTGATATGCATATCTCCCATATACCAGTATAAAATAAAACTTCTACAGTTATAAAGCAATAGTTGAAAGTTATAAAGATGTACCTTTTTTAGCAATAAATGTATCATAACCCTCGTTCAAATCAGCTCCAATATCTTCAGTGATAAGGCGCTTAAAAAGCCTCTAAATAAATGAAATAGAAAACACTTAGTATGCAAGATATCAGCCAGGTTATCACACACATGAAAGAATAAATGAATATAGAGAAAATCAAATGAGATGAGCTCTATGTAGCTTACCAAGTTGCGATCATCAAAGTAGACCTCTCCACCTTCTATGCGACTATAGCAGGCAATTTCACACGGCTGCCAGATAAAAAAAGAAAACACATGGTCAGAACACTTATGCTGACAAGTTACCTTGCACCCATACATAAGTGCAGTCCACCAAAAATAAAAATATATCCAGAATTACAAATGTGTGACGGGGAAACACTAATCAAATTACCGCCATTTAAATTGTTAAAGCTCCACGTGATCATTTGTTTCACATACAAGCAAGATACAATATACAGTACCAATAACTTAAATTCGGGATGAAATGATCCCAAACATCCAGTGCAAGAGATAAAATTCCAGCTTCAAAACAATTTCTTTAGCACTCTTACCCCTAAAATGCTTGGTACATCGGCAAATAAAGCAAAGAAAATGGAATGTCCCTACCTCCTGAATAGCAATACACTTTCTTGACAAAGTCTCTTCACTCTTGGAAAGCTTCAGCTCAGCGACAAATCTTTCATCATGGCGGCCATTTGAAAACCTGTTTCCATAACCAAAATTTTGCCTCTGAGGATAAGGTCCAGGACGAGGAAGAAGGCCTGCTCCTCTATCATTTTGCCAACGACCACGGCCAAAACCCCCCCTACCCTGATTATTTGTATTGCGGACGGCAGGCAATACTGCAAGAGAAACTCACATCTCGCTATAAATCAAACTGAGAAAGAAAATCGACAAAGTTATGCACTTTAAGTTCAGTGGCATTTTCAGCTGCTTCAGAAGTTCAAGTGCGTTATCATTTCCTTGACATAAGAAATGAGAAACTATCCAATTGAGTAAGAAGATTTTTAAACTTCCCACAGCTTCATACAGGAAAAGACATAAACCGTAAGCATACGCACAAAATTTACTGGAAGCTGCACAGCCGGTTCGTGGCAAAAAGATATGAGGCGGCAGTCAAAGTGAGTGAAGTGTCATAAAATTTGGCGAATACGTAGTACAACGGGTCAAGCT